TGAGATTGAGGTTATCTCTAGAATTGAAATCTCTCCAGTTTTGTTCCAGAACACTACATATCATTCACAAAATTACACTGTCTTGGTCTCTTTCAGTAAAACAGGAGAGCCTTAATGTATGTATCAACTTTTTTCTACATTTCTCAAATAGGCAAAATCTTATTCTGAAAGTTACCTTTAAGTCACTTTTTTTCTAAAGAATTATCTTAATACATCAGTAATGGTATTCAGAAGGCCAGAAATACTTTCTTCCCTATATCATATATCTTTGTCTTCTTACCAGGTCACAAAGTTAGTTATACAATATTAATTTCTTTTTTTTTTTCCTATTTTATTTCTGCTTCAGCAGCATGTTTTCACTGTTTGAAAATTGCTTCATTACTAAAAGCCTTTCTCAAAATATATCAAAACACAAAGCTGATAAAGTTTAGCTATTGTATCACTATTGAAGACATTTCAGGTAATATATGTAGGAATAATTCTGCTCCTAAGAGGACAGAAAAGTAAGTGGTATCTTCTAGGCTGTCACCACCTCAGAATATTTCCCACAAATATTCTTTATTCTTTGCCTTTCTTGTTCCTTAGTAACAAAATTCTTGACCATCTCTGACAAAGTTTGAATAAGTGTTCTTTCAATAACCAAGCCAGATTTGAATGCACAGTCTTCACCTCCTGCCTATTTCTCTCCTAGACGTATTTAGTCTCAGCTTTTTACTATGTTCTAGTTTACTTTGCCAAAAGACTCATCTCTTGAGTTTAGTCATCCTTTAATTTTAGTCATGGAAGAGCTCTAGACATGCAATTAAATCTTGCTCAGAGGTATACAATTTTTTAAACTATTCAGTTGTCTTGATCCTCTTCGGTACTGAAAAAACTCCCTCAAGAATGTTTATGTTTTAAGCCATTGAAGTGCAGAGGATGAAGTAATTTATTTTCAAGGTCATACTTTTCATAGTTTAGGTAACTTATGGAATTGTTTAGGTTGGAAGAAATGTTTAAAGGTTTAAAGGCCGCCTGCCACAGGCAGGGGCACTGTCCACTAGAGGAGGTTGCTCAGAGCCCCCATTCAGCCTGGCCTTGAACACTGCCAGGTAGGGGGCATCCACAGTATTCCTGGACAGCCTAACTTCATGCTAATAAAAGTATAAATGACACAAACTGCTTTATACAGTCGTGGAAAAAGAAAAAATATAATAATAATAATAGTAATCAGCATCAGCATCATCTTTTAATCAGGAGTGTGAGAAACTGGACGAGTTAATGACTCAAACAGTGGTCCACTTGATCACCTAGGTGGAGATGGCACACACTTATCACTGGAGGCTACAGCTGGGTGTTGAAAAAGATAAGGAAGGAGGCTGGGAAGATGCAAATTTTGCCAATTTGCAGGTGCGTTAGTGCTTTTTTTCATGTCTATGCCCTTTTCATAATGGCTCAGGCATGAAAACTCCCCTTTGGGAAAGCACTGGGACATTCACACAGTCTGAAGGTATTCAGCCCTTCTGATGGGCCATAATTGACTCAACTGTGCTGACAGGAGAGGCAGCTGTGGCATCTTGGGAGGTGTCATGGATCATGAAAGACTCCTGAAGTGTCCTGTGATCCACAGCCTTATACCATTCAGTGTGAAACTCCCCACCTCAGGAGAGGCACCTGGGCATTCCCACCTGAACCTGAGCATATATAACTGTGGAACTTGGGTGTTTTGTGGGCTTTTCCTATTCCTGACAGCTCAAGAAAACCACAATCCTTTCAGCCAACAGATACTGAAATTGCAATAATCAAGTCTTGTTGTGAGCTCCATGGGTGGTGATATCCTTCTATTCCTTTCCATCTTTTTTTAAGTGCTTTTTTTATGCTTTTATATTGCTATATTACTACAGATAATAACTGAAATGGTTACATATGCGCTCCACATTGCAACCAAATTGTTCTAAAACAAACCCTACAAGTGTATATTTACAAACACAGATCATTCAGTGTCATTTCACTCTAATCTGCCCCAAGGAATCTCTTAGCAAGAACCTGCATTACTCTCACCTTTTGGAGTGGGTCGTATAAGGAGTAGTTTACATTATTTCCAACCTTTGTGGGAAGACACCTGTCTTCAAAGCCTTTTTGGTGGTAGAATTATAAAAATCACTTTTAAAAGTGATCAAAACACATTTCCTTCTTCAGTTCCTTACTGACTTATTTTGAACTCATGTGAGATGTATTCCAGGAATAACTTTCTTGTAAAATGTCACATTTAATTTGACATTGCTGTAGCTGAATAAGTTAAGAAATTAGTTACTTGGGTCTCTTTCGTATTTTCTGCAAATAGAATATTTTATTTTTACAGTTTACTTTTTCATTCCGCTTTAGTCAAAGACATTCTAAAATGAACATTTAGACTCAGGAATTGCAATTAATTGGACTAATAGTTATTTTCTAACTTCCTCAGCCACTCCTATATGTGTCTGACTGAATGCTCTAAAATTTTATTTCCATTTCCTTATCTGCATACTATCACTGGCTTGCTAACAGAGTGCTAACTTCACACTGATGCACATGACATCTTTTTCACCTTGTTCTTACAAATCCACTTCTAATCCCAATCAAAATTCAGGAGTTTGAATGTTTTGTATTGTCATTAACTGCACTATTATTTTAAATCTGAGATATCTTTCTTATGAAGAAAAGAATCCATGATATTTATATAAAATGTTTTCTCTCTCTGTGAATACTTAGAACTTATTTATCTGTTGGACCAGTTGAAATTAATTTGATTTCCATTATACTTTTTACCTCTGCAATTTTTCATTGTACCTACTTTGCTGTTCACATCATAAGAATACTGACAACTGAAAGCAAAAAAGGAAGAAATAGATCAACTGACAATAAGACTGAACTGGCTTGATTTTCAATGTCCTGTTTTCTACATGTATTATTACAGCAGGAGTTAACTGACAGGAAGCCAAACAGGAGACTTCCAAGTAATCCTTTAATAGTACTTCCACAACAACAGATCTGATCCTTTGAAATCATGAGCAGTACAGTGACCTAGTCAGGAAGTGGGTGTCAATGGATTGGGCCATTACAGAGATTAAAAACAAGCAAACAAACAAACAAAGTCGATCTCTATCAATAGAAGAATGAGCTTGGTTTTACCTTCAAAATGAATATATGTTCTAACAAACAAAACATCTTCCTAAGGTATACAAAAAAACTCATGCAACATGCAAATATACAGACATGCAAGAAATTTTGTTCAAATCAAATGTGTAACTCCTTATTGGCAAGCTGGACACACTCTCTGAATTTTTAAGGTTTTTTTCTCCTCTTCTGAAAATCTAGCCATACTTAAAAAGTAAGCTTAAGAAGCATCACTAGGAATTCAACCCTCAAAGTAAATCCAAACCACACATCCAGCCAAACACCAAGAATTCATCTGACTAGATGTCATTGTCTATATTACAAATACCTGCATCACAGCTAGTCACCCTAGGCTCATGTGTCACCCATACATTTATGTTTCCAAGGTACAACTCATCTCACTCTAAAGGAACTATCTCAAATAGACCCATTGTAGTATTCCCTAGAAGTCATCAAAATAAATCTCATCCCTTGTACCTGGCCCCGTGGCCATTTTGCATCAAGTTAATCTCACACTACATGCATAGTTCCCTGTTACACACATGAGCATGCGAATTTCCAAACACAAAGTTTGTACTACCTTCTCTGTGTCATGTGTCATACCTATTTTACATGCCATAAGTTAAATCATATGAGCATATGGCTGCTATTAGCTTCAAACTGCACCTCAGAAACACGCATGATAAAAGAAATAATAGGATCCCACATTATTAAAAAAAAAGACATGATTCCAAGTTACAGCCTACAATATTTAGTTAGCATCCTCTAAGGTAATTATATAAAAACTGTATTAAAAGCTAAAACAAATAATATTCATAAATAAATCATATAGATAGAACTAATTAATGAGGTGGAACTCCATAGTGTCCTCTAATATAAAGATGGTTATGCCATAATAAAGAAAGTCAGCTATAATTTGACCTCAGATCTACTCATTCTAAATGAAAAAAAAAAAAAAAAGCATATATATACAAGTTATTCTAATGTGGAGATTTTCTCTGCTTTGTTCAAGTTCCTACAATTTAGATATAATATTCTCTGTAGCCATGATAAAATTAAGTGCTATTTGATTTACATTATACTTTAAAATTTATAAGTATATTCCAATTTTCATGTTCGGTTTCTTAACATGTAAAAGCAGTTGTTTTAGGAGCTGATAGTCCTATTTTTATTCTAAAATATTTATTGTAGACCAATTACATCTTATTATTTGCTCCAAATCAAATTTCTCCTTACATAAAGAAGAAAACTCGATCATACTTCATGTATCAGATAAAGAGGACATTAAAGTAACTTCCCTCTTCTTGCACTTTTACACATTCAAGAAAAGCACTTTAAAGTAATGTTAAAATTTCTATTTAGAATGCACAATGCACTAATGTCTCTAAAAATAGTAGGTTATCTGAAAAGTCAGATGTTTTTCAGGCCAGGCATACAAAAAGGGTGTTTCTGCCAATTTGGAATACAGTCAATTTTGTTTTCATTCCCTGTCTGTAAAACATGCATAGCTTATCCAGCTTCACAGGAATGATGCCACTGTCTGTATAATGCTTTTCCTGTAAGGCACAGAAGTGTCCATAGAAAACTTTTGCCTTCAACACAGGATTCAAGATTCAGATCAGTGAAGTGAACTTGCCCTTTTTCCTCTTAGAGTCTGTTTCCTTTCAGGTATGTTCTCTGGACTTGCTCACCACCAGTCTGGCACGAGACATGAAAATGTACTCTGTTCAGCCATTTCTGTATGGCTGTGACATATTTCTTCTCTTTGGCTATTATTTGGATGTTTTGAGAAACAATCACAGAAACACACAAGTCTGAGTTAGAAGGGACCCATAAGGACCATCAAGTCCAGGTCTTGAGTGAATGGCCCATATGGGGATTGAACCTACGACCTGGGTGTTATTAGCACCAGGCTCTGACCAACTGAGTTCATCTATTACAGGCAAAAAAAAAGAACATTAAATTATATCAACAGGAACACACATACTGTCAATGAAAAATGAAAAAGTGAATGAATGCTAAAATAAAATTTCATGTCAAAATAGTCCTATAAATTGAGTTATGCTAAAAATAAAATCTATCAGAAGCTACCTTTGTTATATAAATTAATAGTAAATTTTGGCTATTGGATCACAGGAATATATCTATAAATAAATAGATTTTAAAAAGGTATAAAATAGTGTAACACAACCACTGCTGTGATATATGTGAGGGAATTAGCAAAGTTTAGTCTGATGTATTCATTACACAGTGGAAAACTACTGTACCACTGCTGTCTTCACTTTTTCAGCTGAAGGTGTTGGTTTCTTCTGTTTTATTATTAATTCTTTCTATAGGTATTAGTCACATATGGATAAATTGCAATTTTTGATTCTGGCATGCTGCTGCTCTGTTCTAACTTTTACAATGTAATTTCAAGTTGCTATTAATATAAGGCATGTCCTTTATATTTTCATATATCTTTTTGCTGAGTGAAAAAAAATTGATGTAGTGAAACTGCTAACAAGCTGAGCCTTTGAAACCATGGGCAGGTGATGAAAGCCACTTCATGTCTAAAGCATCCCCAGGTCACAGCTGTCACACTCACTGCAATTCATTGTTGTCACAATCTGCTGTCCCTGCTTGTTGTTGCTATCCTCTTATTCATCCAACTCATATATCTAAACATTCCATTACAAAAAGACATCTAATGTTCGTCTCATGTTCAAAAGGGCACAACACTCTTCTGAAATATAATTCTGAAGATTTTAGGGCTCAGAGTTCACTGCCAAATCTAAGGTGCTGCTTTGTAAGTCTTCCCTTGTAATTTCGTCTTTGTCTCATCTCCTGAATACAGCAGGATAAAATGTTTAGTTAGTACATGATCTCAGCTTTATTCCAACATCTTATCATGAAGAAATGAAATATTGCCCAGTAATAGAAAGGCATTTGAAGCTTTGTGAGTTTAAAGATAACAGCACTAGCTGTGAAGTCAGTGAATTGGAAGGAAAGGTCAGCAAGTCATCTACTGTGGCACTGTTCACAAAGGCAATTCTTCTACCCAATGAACCTGGTTGTTCATAATCTGAAGACTCTGATTTTCTAAGACTTAATTTTGTTCTTTGTTATTTAATTAGATATGGTTACTATTGATTTACTTTTCAGAGTCGAAATTTCTCACAGACCTGCTAACTTTCAAGCAGAGTTTACGCTGGCAAACATGCTGTACTCTAATTTCAAATCTATGCTGTCATTTCAGGTTACAACTACAAACTCTGAGATAATTCAAAAACTTTTCAATTTGTGGAAACATTGATACTAAGAAGAAAATACTTCAGTAAAATTAGGGTTAAAAAAATTAGTCAAACCATAATGAAAACAAAACCAAATGTCTGAAAAGAATAGCTGTAAAAAACTGGAAGCTATAATTCTAATAACAAACAGTTTCATGAAAGAGAGCAACTGCACTATTTGTCCATTCCTGTAAAAATAAAGCAAAATGAGGTTTGACCTTCTCACTTACATTTATTCTTGAAGATATTTATTTTGATTGTAGTATAAGTTATTATTCATAAACATTACATTGCCAGCACAAGGTTCAAGAAGTATGCTGATTACGGTTTCCTGCTCAACTACTCAGTGCATATAATTCAATGGACATTAAAATCACAGCCTCTGACTATGCCTAGAGAAGAACAGGTAAAAATTGCCAGTGACATTATGTCCATCTTCATGGGAAGAAAATCCCCTGATAATGACCTCATGCTTTTAAGTTTCTGGGGTTTATGTTTCAATCCTGTTCAGTATTAAAAAATAGGAACATAATTACTTGGCTGTGCTACCTCTATCCACATGACCATATCCATCTGCAATAGATAATGACAGAGGACATAAATCTAGACATATATTGTACCACAGTGAGGCTGAAGGAATGAGTAGGAAACAGTAAGTTCCTTAGCCCTTATAGTACTGTTGAAATAACTATGTACAGCAAGGTCTTATATTTAGAAGTGAGTTTTGAATGACAGATTAAAACTTGTGTTTATGGACTCACCTGTAGTAGAAATGAATTGTGAGCAATATGTCACAAGCCTTGACTGAAGAAGTCAAGGCAGCACATGGGTAATGTCATGTTCTACATAAAGTACCCAAAATCCTTAACTTATTAGTGCAAACTTCAGAAGAAATGTGCATTTCATCCTCGTATGTGCATACTTTTCTAAAGAGAACTTAGGTTAATTTGGTAATTTAAAAACATTTCATTGAAATCCACATATTTTTATATTACGATTATGTGCAAACCAGATGGGAACATGAAACCTGGTTTGTCAAATAACTTGCGCATGATGTTATGCCAGAAGTTATGCAAAAGTTGGCAGCTACAATGAATATTTAATTAGCATGAATATGAGAGCTGAATTTTCAAAAATGACATTGATACATACTGTAGATTATTAATACAAACAAATGCTTAAATAAGCAAGCTTTTGGAAAGAAATTATGATTTTCCAGTTACAGTGTGCTGATAGAATGTTTCAGAGAGCCTAAATTGCTAGGTACTTTCAAGGTCTTAACCTAGATTATAAGGAATCTATCTCTGCTAAAGAAAATAGATGAGTTACAAAAATGAACTTGTTAAGTAAAGGACCCCAGGATAAGGAAAATTTTCTGGTATGGGACTGCTCACAATTATAATAATATACACAGTTATATGATGACAGTATGTCCCTTTTGGAGTCCAATAGTTTTAAATCTACTAGACAGGTTTAGATCACATAAGCCAATAGTACTTCTCAGTTAAGTGCTTCCTGGGTCCAGCAATGTTCCCATAATAGGGACAGACCTGTCAACAGAGCAGGACCTGCTTCCCCCAAAAGGAAACTTTTACAGGCCTATGAGACATGTTAATGCACCTCAAATGTACCTGACTGTGGTAACTGGAGAAAAGATAGAGGTCATACTGGAATATGCTCCCATAGACATATTTAAATGTAGGCCATGGTAACTTAGGCAGCTTTAATAGCTACAACTAACTTGTAAATCAGCTTTAACAAGCTAGAAGTCAGCTTGTTAAAGTTTAGAAACAGAAGGTTATCAATGCTCATGAAGGTCAAATTTTATACTCTTACATATGAAATCAAATTTCTCATAGAAAATGAAAGGAGGGAAAACAGCGTGAAAATAGTGAAAACAAAGTGTTGTTGGCACAGTAATTCATATGTCAGGTGTCATTTAGCATGTGCTCCATCTCAATCTTCATTTTTTAGATATTGCTGTAGTACCAGTGGCCACTGTTCCAATTAAGAAAATTAATTTAGAATTAAATAAAGCACCATGTGTGTTCCAGAGAACACTAGTATCATGTAACTCTTACTAAATACCAATCAAGTAAAAATAGAAAAATAAAGGTGCAAAAATCACCATGTAATCAGTTAGCTAGCAGCAGAGTGCTTATATCCACAAGATATGGGCAAGATGGAAACTAGGGTATATCTAGTCTTGTTGGCATACAACCCAAATAAACAATTCTTCTCAAACCAGTATCTTAACTCCTCATGTCAACAAAGATGAGAAAGGAATGCTCCTGAAGGCTTCCAAAGAAGACCCTACATTTGGAAGTGTAGGTGACTAAATTAGGCCATCAGATTGTATTTTTCTAGGTCAATAAAAACATCGCTTTGCTGACTTTTAACTGAACAGTTATTTGCGGTTCTGTGCTTGTTAGGTTAAAGAAAAAAGGTGCACCAGCATGTTGAATATCTTAATAAAGTCAGGCCTCTTCACTCTACTTAAATCATCATGAACTTCAAAACTTTTGTAACCCCTAATTTAAAGGGATTTACAGGGATTCTTCTGTGCTACTTCATTCTAATTTGTTTGGGATTTGGCAAATTTAGTTTCTGCACAGGTGAAGTATCAAACCTTTCAGCCTTCTTCAGATAACTTAGAGCATTTCAGTTCCAATGCTTAGGTTTTAAAATTGGAAGAACAATCCCTTCTAATTTAAGAGTAATTTTTTCATGATATCTCAAGGAACATTAAATAACAGACTATGAAATATGAGAAATCACAAAGCTGCGTATGAAAATTCTTCAATTTGAGTGTTGCTTTAATACTGATTTAGAGAGATGGAAAGAAATTGAGATGGAAACAGGAGCTACCAGTAGCCTGCTGTGCTCTCATGGTCACCACACTTAGTTTTCTTGCCTTTATTGACTTTGTGACTTACCTTAGAACATTTGACATCTATACATCTTTACAGTATTTATGGTGGTTGGGAGTGGGCTACAATTTGGTGCCTTTTGGTTTGGTTTGGTTCAGTTAGGTTCGTTCTACAGTTACCTTAATAACAGATGTCTCCACTCTGGATGGAGGGCTCTGCACTTGTGCTGCTGCTGCCATGTTGGCGATGGTGCTGAGGTGGTTCATCTGGCTCATCGCCATCGTGACAGAGGCTGGAGGTAGGCTCACGGGAATCAGCGGGTGGGGCATCATCATAAAAGGAAGTTCCAACCCTGTTGGGGGGAAAAACAGGGAAATAGGTTTATGCATCTTTTCTTGAAGCACTGTCTTCTTTTTCTCCTGATGGACATTATTCAAGTGACAGGTGACAAGATGGTTCACATTGCAGGAAAAAGCAGGTCTACATCAGTTCTCTTCTGGGAGATGCAGGGGTGAATCACTAGCAACCATGGAAAGTTTATAGCCACAAGGAGAGGCTATTAGACCTCTTAGTTTGTTCATATCTGTGCAATGTATGGTATCATTGCTAAGCAATGGCTATTTATTATAGTTTTTGATATCTGCTGTAAGGTGCCTTAGCAATGCGTCATTACACCACTGATGCGCAAGTTAGCAGTTATTTTAAGTATCAATTTTATTGCATACTTATTTGTTCTTTACTGTCTCCACTTCCCCTGCTTAATACTTTACAGGGAGCATTCCAGTATTCTGCACATCCTTGA